GAGCCTTCTCCTCTCCAAGTGAACACCTCCAGCTCTCCCAGCCTGGCTCCAGAGCAGAGGATCTCCAGCCCTTGGAGCATCTCTGTGGCCTCCTCTGGATTCTCTCCAGCAGCTCCAGGTGCTCCTGGTGTTGAGGTCCCAGAGCTGGAGGCAGCTCTGCAGGTGGGGTCTCACCTAAGTGGGGCAGAGGGGCAGAACCCCTCCACACCTGCTTCCCACACTGTGGGATGAGCCCAGGACACAGTTGGATTTCTGGGCTGCAAACACACATTTCCAGGTCGTGTTGAACTTCTTATCCACCAACACCCCCCAAGTCCTTCTCCCCAGGGCTGGTCTCCCCCCACTCCCTGCCCAGCCTGCATTTGTGCCCATCCCCGTGGTCTCTCCTGGCTCACCTGCACACCCGGGGTGGCCTCGGGGCGGGTGGGCTGAGGTCGGACGTAACACGGGCTGCCTGGATAAAACAAATCATCGGCTGAATAACTACCAGGCAATTACTGCCATTAGCAATGCCGACCTTCTCCAGCTCCCTGGGCACTCGTGGGGGGTGGAGGGCACCTGGCCCCTCCCGGGGTTGGCTCAGCCGTGACGTGGGGTGGTGGTGAGGATGCGCTTCCTCACGTCGCCCTGCGCCCTCCGTCACGGGCAGCGCACGAGCCAGAGCAGCAGCACCCAACCCCTAATGAGCAGGTTGGCTTCAAAGGCTCCCTTCTTCTTCGGAAAGACACATTCCCAAACCCCAGAGCTGCCTGTGGTGGGAGCAACCCCGGCGCTGCGGAGGAGGCGACACGTGCTCCGCAGTCCCTCGCGGGCGGTTGTCCCCGTAGGGGAGGGCTGTGTCCCTCCTGCCGTCCCACCATCCCCAGTCTGGGGTTTTATAGCCTCCTGATCTCAGGTAAAACACCCCCAGGCACACAGGCATCCTTTGAGGGGTTGATTTCCCCCTGAGCCCTGCTACAAAACCCCTCTGCAAGGGGGGATTACACCTTGGATGATCAACCTCTGTCGGGACTATCAAGGGCTGCAGGGAAGGAGGAGCAGAGGAAGGAACTGGCTAAACTCGTTACACTGGTGACATTTGAAGAGGGTGGTTAGTAAGTTGCATGTTAACATTATGTCCAGTCTTTAAGGAATGCATCCAGGATTCATCAGGGGAGCAGTTGTTAGGTGAGTCACGCTGTGGACATGCGGATTTAACAGGGATTTCAAGCCCAAGCGACCTGTAATTGCATATTAGCAGAGGGATGCTTAAAGTAATCAGCTGTTCCAGCCACACCGGCTACGGGGGGGAAGGGAGGAGGGCTGGAGGGGTGTCCTGCACCCAGCCCCTCCTTGGATTACAAGGCAAAAATATAGGCCACACAAACACCCTGGGGGACACGCTGCGCGGTGGTGGCTTTTCCTTTGAAGGCAGGGTGACACTGCTCTTGCTGAACCCTTGATAGTGGCAAGATAAGGAGGATAAATACACCGTGGTGGTGGAGAGGGCAATGATCAACCGCCCCGGCCAGCCGGCCCCATGCAGGGCTTCGTCCTCATCCATCACCGAAGGGAAACCTCCCGGCCGGGAGGGAGAGGTGGGAAAGGCTACGGCACTCGGAAAGAACGATGAGAGCTGTTGGGAGGGGAAATGCGAGTTCTCGCTTGTACGGGAGGGAGAGATAACACATCACACACCGCCCTGCGCTGCCCCGGGCGCCGCTCCAGCCTCACGCCTGTCTCCAGAGCCACCGTCCCACCCAGAGTCCCTCGTCTCTCCCGGGAATGTCGTTATTTCCCCTTGGCACCGCTGCAGTGGGTCGGGGCAGGGGGGTGCAAGGACACCCCGTCCTTGGTTCATGTCACAGCTCGGTTGTGCAACACCTGGAGGCTGCAGCGAGAAGACAATTGACTTCTTTTCCTCCTTCCTTAAGGAAACGCCTTTGTGATGGTTGTCAATCATTCCTCTGAATACTTCGGGATGCCAGCAGAGGATTTTAATCAAATTTGTCAGAGCCATCATGATTGTACAAGCTGAAATGGGTGTCCAGGCTCGGGGATCCACCCAGGTGAGGGAGCAGCAGCAGCTCGGCACACAGGGCTCACTCCTTCCAAAAGGAGCAGGGAAGAGCAGGCACAGGGCACACTGGGATTTTAGGGGAAGCTGGAATGCTGTGGAGCAGGCGAGAGGCTCTGCACGAGCTGATCCCTCCTTGTGATGGCTCAGGAGGGAAGGAAACGCCTGAGCTGCACATTCCAGGCTGGATGCAAGAAGTCAGAGGTGGGAGAAGGTGGTTGAGTCAGGGAAATCACGGAGCCAACAGCCAAAAGGTCTGTGGCAACCTGTATTTGGAGCTGAACAGTGCAAATACTGCATGTACAGAGAAAAAAAAAAGCCTTTTAAATGCTCCTCCACCTCTGCACACAAAAGGTTCTTCACCCAGAGGGTGGTTGGGCACTGGAACAGGTTTCCCAGGGAAGTGGTCACAGCACCAAGTCTGCCAGAGGTCAGGAAGCGCTTGGAGACAAGGCTGGGGTTGTCCTTGATGATCCATGTGGTTCCCTTCCAACTCAGGGTATTCCATGTTTCCAACACGAGCCAAAATCCTATTTGGAGTAGAAAAGCCCAAACCAGAACCTCCAGCAGCAGCACCAGGAGGTGAGATTGGAGGGTTCAGTGACAGAGCACCACACGCTTCTCACCATCCACCTTCACCCACCCAAGGCTCAGGACTCGGCAGGGTGGGCTGTGCCATCCCCCCCAAGGCTCAGGACCAGGCAGGGTGGGCTGTGCCATCCCCCCAGGGCTCAGGATCAGGCAGGGTGGGCTGTGCCATCCTCCGGCAGCTCAGCCCTGTCCCGGGAGCAAACTGCCCTCCCGGAACATCCAATATCAATGGAGCATTTGTCTCGTGCTTGGCACCAGGCTCTGGAGCACAAGGGCCCGTGTGCTGGATCGCCCAAACACAGCTATAAATGGCAAGAGGAGCTGCACAGACAGACTGTTCTCTCATGCTGCAGGAGCTCGGATGGCACAGTTAACACCCGGGCTGCCCGAGCGGCTCCCGAGGAGGGGGAGGAGGAGGAGAAGGGCAGCCGGGGAGAAACACTGGCACACTGCAAGGGAAAAAAAAAAAAAAAGCTAAATAGAGAGATTAAAATAAAATTTAAATGCCATGCTGGGTCTAGCAACCCGCCTGCACAGAGCTGGTGCCACCCTCGGCACCGGGCCAGCGGATTAAGGATGGCTGGGAGCAGGGAGGCTGGAGCAAGATGCTTCTTGCATTCTGGAGTCAAGACAAATTCCTGCCGTTTCAGTGATTCTGAAGCGCAGCCAGATGTCCTTCCAGGAGAAAAAGCTGCAGATGTGAAACCCGCATCGCCAGCCCTGGAAGTGATCTTGCTGCTACAACAGCCGAGTATTTTTGGATGCGTCTCCAGGCATCGATCGCACAGCAGCCCTTTGCAGAGGTGCTGTGGGCACGTGCTGTACTGTACCACAGGCTGTGGCGTGGGCTCCTCCGCTCCTGACTCTGGTTATCTGAGCTGGGCACTGCCCAGACCACTGGGCTAAATATAGGGAACTGTATTTATAGACAGTTACTATAAAGGAGCAGCCACCCCAGCACACGTCTGTCCTCAGAGCAAAGCTCCTGAGCCAAGCATCACTAGAGCCCGAATCTCACCCCCCAGACCCCTCAGGCACACCCTGACTTATCCATCGCCCTCTGCCTCAAAGAGGAAAATAATGACAGACTACAGGCTGTGAGAAAATATATAGGATTTTTTTTTATTTGACAATTAACAAAAGAGGGATCCGAATCTCGGCTGTAAACATTGATAGCTCCTTTCTGATCACAACTAGTACTTTCCACCAACATCCTTTTGTATGGTCTGATCCGCTCCAACAATGCTGAGCCGACTCTGTCAGGGCTTTTGCTGCTCTGCTCAGGGTCACAAATCCAGAGGCAGCTTATTCACCACAGCATCAACAGCAGGACCAACCTCCCACACTGAAGACAGCTGATGGACTAAGACACTTTAGAGCTGCCTCCATACACGAGAGACGCTCAGGGAAGGCAGGAGACCGTGCTGGGTTTGTGCCAGAGAGAGGGAAACATCTCTAAACCCAGCAGGTTTGGAGAGAAACCAGCTCTGCAGAGGCAGAGCCCTACTTGAGCAGGCAACAGGGACTCACACAGTGCCAGCCCAGCGAGAACATCCCAGCCCTGTTGTCAGAGGGAAGCTTTGGCCCCAGACTGTAAAAATTTGGAGATGCAGAGCCAGCAAGTCTGTCCCAAAGAGGGACTGGCACCTCGTCAGCTCCATTGTTGCAGTGGAACCAGAACTGCCCGTAGCTTGACAAGGGGAAGTGAAACTTCATCTTGGGCTGGAGGGCAGCCAGAGCTGGAGGAGCTGGCACCCAGCTGCCAGCCATCCCACGGGAATCTGGCCTGAACATCAGCAGAACCGAGCTCTTTTAGGGAGATAAGCCTTCCAGAGCCTCTCACCCTCCCCTTTTCCAAGAGGAACCACTCTGCAGGTGGGTCAGCTACACACAGTATCCAAGTCTTAACTACTCAAACCACCTTTTGCTGTTCAAAACCAGCAGCAGGGAATGAAGCCGTGGAAAACCAGCAGGGAGAGTCTCCCAGGGCCATTCCCACAGCAGGGACCTCAGATCACCACCTCGGGCCACCCTCCCCCCTCCAGCAACATGAGGAGAACCAGGAAAAGGGAAGATGCACAACACTAAAGAACAGTGTTATAAATAGAAACCTCCCTCAGCTGTAGGAGCGACCTGCCAACAGCTACACAATTCCTGGGATTTGTAGCTGCTTCGGAGTGAGGGATGGAGCAGCCTGAGGTAGAAGGAGCATCTGGGCAGATCCAGGACCAGGATCTCAGCTCACTCCTTCCAAGGTCACCTGTTGGTTCTGAGCCTGGTTTCTGGTGGGAGCAGAGTCACCTCATCACCACACTCCCCCAACTGGACAAGCAAATAAAAATAACCCAACAGATTTGAATACACTGTATTTATTCGTAACAGATTCTAAAGAATCTAGTGAGTCTATGTCAAGCCCATTGCATGACAAGTGATACAGGTGTAGGAAAAAAAAAAAGACATTTAAAACAAAACAAAAAAAAAATATCAAGTGCCATTCAAGCTACTGGAATCTTCCAATTGCCCCCCCCTCACAGGAGGCAGCACAGTATCACTGCAAGGTCTAGAAAAAGTCAGATTCAACCCATTCACAAGAGTCCCACCACACACACTCCGTATATCAAAAGTGCAATCTCAATGGGAAGCCGCCCTGCCGAGCTTTTGGCTGTAGGGAATCTTTTTGGGCATCTCAGAGGGAAGGAGGGAATCTCAATTCAGTGCATCTACGTGTCTGTGGGCAGGAGCAGCCTGTAGAAAACATGCTACATGGCATCTATGTTCATCTGAAGTTTAAAATGAAAGAAAAAAGCATCATCTGCTCCCACAGGCAGCCCTTAAACCGGTTTTAACTTGCACTGGAAAATCTCAAGCTCCCACCACTGAGGCTCTGGGGAGTTCTGGGGCTGCAGCAGAGCAGACACAACAGCCTTGGCCACGAGGGCAGAGCTGTTCTGCAGGGAGGCAGCTAAAAACCTACACTGTTAGTGACACTTCTTCAGCTCTGTCTGGAGAGGGAGCAAAGCTGGACCAGTTTCAACTGCGTTAGTTCATGTTAAGCGCAAGAGCCACCCCCCCACCCCTTACTCCCAACTCCACATCGCCCCTACCCCAAAAAAGGTACCAATCTGGCTATGCACATTCCAAGGATCTAGTCTTTATTAAGAGCGTTCAATCTGCCCAGCTATTACAGTTTTGTCACAAAAAAAAAATACCAAAACAAAACAAAACAAAAAAACCAAGTTAGTAAAGATACTTCGAGTACCTCAGCCTCGGAGGAAGCACCACTGAAGCCGTGGTGTTCCCGGAGCAGCATCCCTAGGGAATGCCTGCTGCCTGCCCGCCTCTCCCTCCGTGCATAGTTAAATCTGAGATGCTCCACGGGCACAGCAATCCAGGCACCTCCACGAAAAACTTTTGTGCTCCAGACACCCAACAACTTCAAAGCCACGTTGGACTGAGAGAGCCAAACCCTCACAACACAAGAGGGTCTGTTTAGAAGACTTTTTTTTTTTTCCCCTTTCCTAAGGCCAACTAACTTCACCCCCACCCCCCCAAGCTCCATTTCTAGCTAGAGAATGAATTTCAAATGCTGATGGAATCACATAGCTGGGAACAGGCTGCTTTGGAAGATGGGACCTGCCCAAGGGGAGATCTCCAGACTGGAAGAACTCTGCCCATCTCCTCGGAGGAAACGGGCTCCAGCAACAGCTGGAAATAACTGACTAGTGAACTGGGTGGTTTGTGCTTCAAAAGGACAAGCCTCATCTTCCCTGATAACCCAGCTGGCCTCTGGCTTTGTGCATTAAAATCACACTGCATGCCAAAAAAAAAAAATAAAAAAACCTAGGAAGAGCAGCATTTCAAATTCCCCTAGAAAATACAGGATTAGGTCCAGCAGCCTGGGGCAGGCTCCTGGACAGATCATCTGCCTCATCATTTAGGAACACGACCATATTTTGGCACTGCAGACTTGGGAGCTTGAAGAAATTCATATGCAGGTCCCTGCTGCCTTTTTTTCCAGAAAGCTCTGCACAGCATTTTCCACCATGCACTCCCTCCCTTCCCCAGTGTTCCCCGTTTCAGGCATTTACACGTAGCCATTCCAATACCTCCCTGGTTTATGCAGCCCCACTTTGACAGCTCTTTGCTCCAGCTGGTCCTTCACAGGCAGCAAGTCATGCCAAAAAAAAAAAACCAACAAACACAACCTCAGCGACACGGAACCTCAGCCAGGTTACTAGAAATGATCTTACGACCCTCCCCACCCCACAACAGAAACATTTTCCTCTTCAGACAACCCCCACTCAAGCTCTTGGGACATCAGCCCCTGCAAAAATAATAAAGGTTTACAGTACAGTTGTGTTTATATTGTTACAGGCACTTAAACAGGATTCTTTGGTCCTTCAAAGGAATTAGCCACTCGGGCTTCTGTTGGCAGAAACCACAAGTTTGCACACCCATAACACCTCCTGCACTAAAAAAAAAAAAAAAAAAAAAACAAAAACCAAAACAAAACACAATTCAGATCCATTTCAGGGCAGTGCAGCTCTACCTTAGCGTAATTCTACAGTCTCCCCTCACACAACCCCACCCACCCCATTGCCTTCCAGAATTCTATAAGCGAGTCTTCCCATAAACGTCCGAGTCATCTCATTTCCATAACACTGCACTTCCCATCACAGTGTACAGCAGACAGGTCTTGTTCCAACAACCTCAAGGAACAAGACACTCAAGCAGGAGTCCAGGAAGTTTCCTTTTGTTGCAGTTCTAGGAAGGTTGGTTGGTTTTTTTTGTGATTTTTTGTTTTTGTTTTTTTTTTTTAATCCCCCCATCCCACCCTCCCGACCCGCCAAGGCAAGGAAATACCTTGGAGGACAGACCCTGACGTTTGTCCTGGCTCAGTTACAGGGAAGCCACGTTGGGTAGGACTGATTGCAAGGCAGGAAGGGCTGCACGTGGGTGACATAGTAGTTGAAGTTTATTTCACTGACATAAGGGGCTGGCTGGTAGTAGCAGGTAACGTTTGTGACGGTGGGGATGATGTTCTGCTCAGCCAGGACCCTCACAGCCAGCATGGCAATGAGGTTCAGGGTCTGCCTCCTCTCGTGTCCCATGAGGCAGACTGTGCTCTCATTGACCACCCTGTGGAGGGTCATTAAATAGTCATATCTGTTGCTCTCCATCCCAACAAAGTGGCTCTGGAGGTAACATTCCAGCTTCCTCAGCTGCTCACCGATGTCAGAGAAGTCTATGAAAAACCTGGAGCACATGTACCTCTGTAGTGCCTTCATATCCACTTCTGATTTGGGCTTAAACCCCCTCACCAGGAGGTTGCAGTACTTCAGGAGCCCCCCACCTCGGATCTCCTCCGGGTTCCTGGTGGCGATGACCCTGTTCCGCAGGTGGTCCATGGCCTCCTCAAAGTCCCCGTACATGCTCTCCCCGGTGACCGTGGGGTGGAAGTTCTCGGCCATGGGGTTCTCCGAGCACTCCCCGAACAGCAGGAGCGAGTCCAGGATGATCTGGAAGGAGTCCACGCTGAACTCGAACTGCCGCCGGAGAGAGTCCACGAATTTGAGCTCCACGTTCTTCCCGCTGTTGTTGGAGAGCGAGATGAGGCTCCAGCGGTCGGTCTCGTTGCACACCTTCACCAGCTTCTGCACGTAGGCCTCCTTCAGAGTCATGGGGGTGATCTTGTCCTTGTTGACGCCTTCGGGGAGGAAGTCAAGCAGGCAATCCATGACCACGTCTTTGACGAGCTGGAAAACATCTTCTGTCTTCAGGTCCACGCCGAAAATGAGGTCCAGGTCTTTGTACCCCAAGCCACTGTCTTGATGCAGAACGTGACTGGCTGCTGAGCCATTCAACCTGACATTATGGACTGTGATTCCTTTCTTCTCCAGGCGACTACGGACAACCTGAGACATAAAGAGAGTCAGTGAGAGGCAAGTAGGAATTTTTGGAGCAGCCTGGTGACAGCAGGATCCACTCCCTGGGCTTATATGGGTCACTCCAGTGCAAGACAGTGAAATAAAAAGCTAATCCATTAGAAATAGGTCACTTTGGAAAGCATCCCGAGTCCTGCCAGCAGCTAGGGGTGGCTCTCCTTTACTTATTCCCTGGCATTAGAGGGATCTGACTGCACATGATGAGCTGTTCTGCTTCCAGTGCAGTGTCTGCTCTCCCCTGCCTTCCCCACGCTGAAGGGGAGAGGTTCCCTGACCCCATTTTTTGGGGTGGTCCCTGCCCCCTTCATCCCCTCACGGTTCCAGCCAGCAAGCCAAGACCAGCCAACCCCAAAGTGACCCCAAACAGGGAGGCAGCAGCACAGTCTGCAGCAGTCCCAGTGGATTTAATCAGGGTGGCTCGTTCCTTTTAGCCATCCCCTTCGGCCTGTCAAGATTCATTAAAGGCAAATCAAGATGCCAGAACTGCTCAAAAGCCCCAGCCAGGCGTATGCAAGTTCATGTCCCAACTAGTAAGTGTATCCTAACAATTTCCAGTGTGTCAGAGCTTCGTGCTGAGCTTGGCATGCTATCAAGCACAAGAGGCAGCTTTCATCTTACGGGTGTTACTCCGGTGATTTTAATGCTGCCTGCTCAGTCCTGGCACACCCACCAGTCCCTCCAAAGCTTTGTTCATTTAGAGGGAAGCTGAATCACCTGCCTGATTACTTAACAAGCAGGAGGCTAAAATAACCCCCAAGACCATAAAATAAACTCTCTGGACAACAGTTTATAATTTGAGTTTAACTCAGCTCAAAGATCGCAGGAAGATTAAGTCCGCATCTTCCACCAGAAGCTCTTCCCACCTCTCATCCTGCTTTCATGTTCCTCTCCAGCAATTACCCATTTTCCTGGGAGTCCCAGCTAACCAGCCTGAAGCAAGGCCATGGCTTGAAAGAGCCAAAGCTTGGGACACAAATGGACCAATTGTATCACCAAGAGCCAGTCCAACCAGGCCCTTCAGCTCTGTGAGGCTGCCCTAGTTTGAGAGGCCCCACAAATTCTGATTATTGGCCTCCCAGAATCCGAATTTTAATTCAAAACTTTATCAGAAGGGGCAAACCCTCTTGCTGGTTGAGCAGACAGTGCTGGGGGAGATCAGAGCGCTGCAGCTCCGGCCTCAGCAGCCGTAAAACTGCCCCTCCACGAGTTTTGTTTAGGAAGGAGAACACACAAAAAGTGAAGAACTGCAGCGTGAAACCCTCACCGTGTCACAGACCCCTTGGTGACCCAACTAAGGGCCGCCAGCAAGTTCTGCTGCCTCTGCAAAAAAAACCCAAAACATCTCAGAACAACCCCACGGATGTTTTTGCACTTAGAGGTTGTTCAGGCTCACGATGCAGCTTCCCTGCTGGTGTTTCCCCTTTCTCCCTGACACGAGCCATCCCGGCTCAGGCTAGAAACATGCCTGGGCTCCTTGCCAAGCCCGTGGTGACAGTCACATGTCAGGCAACAGTTAACCAGGGAGCTATTCACCATCAGAAGTCCCAGGTCCCCACCAGCACATCCAATCCAGCCAGTGAAAGAAGTTGTTTTCCAAGGCAGATAGTTCAAAAAAAAAAAATTAAGTTTACTGCTGGAAGAGGCACAGGGTTAATCCCCCAAATTGAACAAACATCATGCGGGGGAGCTCCTGGTCTGCATCTGCTGCCAACTGGAGTCACTCACCCGGGGCACGGCTCCAGCACTACTCGTGGAGTTAAGAGTTTTGTGCTATTAGGCTTAGAGAGACAAGATATAGGTCACAAAAGTGTTAGATGCAGAGCCAGGCCCAGTGCTTGGAGAAGATCTCATTCCAGATTAATTTCCTAACCCCAGAGAACATCTGCTTAACCCCTCTCTGAGCAAAGCTCAGGACCTGCAGTGTTTCAGACTCATAACCTCCAGGCTTACTTGAGCTCCCCAGGTCTGTCCCTGTGAGATGTATTCAGAAAACAGGGGAAAAATCCAACTGCTCAAGTCAGCTTTGTCCCAGATCACCCCAGAAAGCTCCAACCTGCAGAGCACCTTGCCATTCCCTGGGAGCTTCCACCTGGGAGCTCAGCTCAGCTCCCCAGCTGCAGGCAGTGGGTTCAGGGATGCATTTTTTCCCCCAGAGGGTTGGATATTTCTAGGGTTAGGCAGCTGCTGACCTGCTTCCCAAAACAGCACCTCACCTTCCGTGTGGTTGGGATAATTGACTCTGACAGCCAGGCAGGAGCAAATCCTGCTGCGTCCTGACCTGCCGCTTCCCACCTCCCACAACAACAACAACAGGATAAATAACTGCCTTTTGGGTTACTTGTTCCAGCTTAGTCAGCCCTAAACACAGGGTCTGCCAGCACGGCCGGGCACAATTACAGCCCTCAGTTATTCCATGTTTGAAGTTGCTACTGGCAACATCCTTTTCAGCAGCTCCGACACCAAATCGCCGCCGTTTCTGTGGAACCAGAGAGGAATAACTGGTGGAATATTTGATGCTGCACAGTGCTGTGGTCTTGCCCAAGCCAAAGGCAGCGTCCTGCCTGCAAATCTCATCTGTCATTCAGCTCCGAGATCGAGCGGCCAAAATTTAGCGTTTCTGCCCCCAACAGATGTGGCAGGAACTCGAGGAATTTAAAACCAGCCGAGCCTTTCAAATGTCACCCTCCCATCTTCCAGGCTTAACTCGAACTATTTCTCAAGCAGCTGAGGCTCCGAAATCCCGGTGATTAGGTTATTGTGAAAGCCAGTTGGGTTTTAGCGCCGTGAATAGGCTTTTTAATTAGAAGCCAACATGCCCGATTTTACATTTGATGAGTCATTACTGAGGAATGAAGTCGCCTCCCAAACATGAATATGCATCAGCTCATTCGAACTACATTGTTAGTTTAATATTAAACACGGTTATTACTTGATAGTTAAACTAACAGGAGCTCGTGAAGTCTCGGGCAGGCTCTGGAGGATACATCAGTGTCCCGAGAAATCAAAGGACACGGACATTTGATCCGGCATTTGAATTAATAAATGCCTCTTCCAACACAAGCCCAACATGTCCACCAGCACGAAGCCATTTCGTGGAAGCAGCTCCAAAAAAAAAAAAAAAAAAAAGCCACTTTTGCCTTGGCCACACATTTCACAGCTCTTAGGGCACCAAATTAACTCGAAAAGAGGAGGAACGACACAAGATGGGAGGAAGCTGAGAGGGATCTGTGGCACAAGCCGTAGCAGCTCCAGCGATGGGGCAGGATTTTAAAGGCATGCGAGTTTTCCAGGAGGGTCCTTCCAGCTTTAGACATTGCTGCAGTGCAATGAATTCCTGCCAGCCCTACCGAGACCCTCAGGATTGGGAAGTGGGACCAGCTGAGTGCACAGCACCCCCCCGATGATGGGGGCCAGTCCTCCCATGCAGCTTTTAACCCCTCTGGAGCATCCAGGCCAGGCTGGACAGAGCTTGGAGCGACCTGGTCTAGTGGAAGGTGTTGGAATAGGGGTAGGGGCTTGGAATGAGATGGTCTTCCCGAATCCCAGGTGTGCCAGAGGCCAAGCAGCATCTTGACAATGCTCCGAGACACAGGGTGGGATTTCTGGGGTTTGTGCCGTGCAGAGCCGGGGGCTGGGATGGATGATCCTTGCGGGTCCCTTCCAGCGGAGGTATTCCCGATATTTAAGGTACTTTGCAACCCAAAGCGTTCTACTATCCCCGCGCCAGGAGCTCTGCCCTGGGCCCGGCGGGGGGAGGCCGAGGGTGCCCGGGCGGGTTGGCTCGGGGCCCGACGGGGACGATTAATGTCGCCTCAGCACTTTTTATTTTCTCCCTGACCCCCGCTGGAACGGGGCAGAGTCCAACGGGGCGACAGCGGGCGGCCCGTGTCCCCCCCACCCCATAACCCACCCGAGCACCCCCCTCCGCCCCCTCGGCGCTCACCTGGACGATGGTGCGGGGCCGCACGGACAGCGTGGGGAAGTTGCCCCGGCCGTGGATGGGCACAGCCTCCCCCAGGATCTGGTCCAGCCGCTGCACCTGCTCCCACGTCAGGACGCTGAAGCGGCTCCCGCGCTCCTCCGAACCGCCCGGGGCGGCCCCCGCCGGCACCGCCGCCACCGCCGCCACCTCCAGCATCTCTCACCGACCGCCCCCCCCCCCGAAAAAAAAGAAACAAACCGCCGCCCGCAAAAAACGAGCCGCTCACCCGGAAACAGCCCGGAAACCGGCCGGAAGTGGCGGGCGGGGAGGGGAAACGGGGTGAAGATTTAAAATGAGGGGGGAAAGGTAAAAAGGGATCCCCCCGAGAGGCGTCGGCGAGGGGGTGGGCGCGCGGGGCGCGGCGGGAGGCGCGGTCGGTGCCCGCAGGGACTCGCAGCGAACCGGCCCGTCCGCCCCCCGCCCGCCACCGGCTCCGCCGAGCGCTGCGCCCGCCCGCCCCCCGCCGCGCCTTATATAGCCCCCGCCCGCGCCCCATTGGCCCGGCCCACCGCCAATCCCGGCCCGAGCGCGGGCACGGGGGGAGGAGAGCGGCCGGGCCCGGAGCCAATTGGAGGAGAGGGGAGGGGGGAAAGGGGCGGGGCGATGGAGGGGGCGGGGCGAAGGAGGTGGAGCTCCGCCCCTCCGGCGCGCGGGAATCCCGGCGGTGATTGGTCGGGACGGGCGCGCGCTGAAGGGACACCCCATTGATGGGCTTTGATACCCCATTGATGGGCTTTCTTACTCCACTGATGGGCTTTGATACCCCACTGATGGGCTTTGATACCCCACTGATGGGCTTTCTTACTCCACTGATGTCTCTTTGATGCCCATTTGATTCCCTTTGATACCCTTTGATTCCAATTCGTGCCCATTGATGCCCCATCGATGCCTCACTGATGCCCCTTTGATGTCCCTTTTATGCCCCTTTGATGTTCTTTGCTCTCCATTGCTCTTCATTGATGCCCCAATGATGCCCAACAGGCTGGTACCCCGTTGATTCTCCATGGACTGATGCCCCATTGATGCCCCATGATCTGATGCCCCACTGATGCCCCACTGCTGTCCATGCCCTAGTGCCCTGCTGATGCCTCATGATCTGACACCCCATTAATACCCTGTGCCCTGGTGCCCCATTGATGCCCTGTGATGTGATGCCTCATTAATGCCATTGATGCCCCGTACTCTGATGTCCCATTGATGCCCCATGCTCTGGTACCCCATTGATTCTCCATGGACTGATGCCCCAAGGTCTGACACCCCATTGATACCCCATGTCCTGTTGCCCCACAACCCATTGCCCCCAGCTCCCCCAGGCCAACAGTGTCCCCAGGGAGCTCTGGCACCCAGGAGACACAGGGTCACACTGCGGGGTGACACCCCAGGGTGACAGACACCCCGGGGTGACAGAGCTCTCCCAACCCCGGGAGCTCAACCCCAGCCCCAAAATCCCATCGCGTGGCCTCACTGCCAGTCAAGCCACCGCCTCCTCCCGGGGCCAGACGTGTCCCCAGCCTCTGGCAGCCCATTTCCTTTCATCCCAACAATTCCCATCCCTTTAAAGAGCTCATTTCTCCGCAACATCTCCCCCTGCAGACATTCCCAGCAGGCGCCTCCCCGCCGAGCTGGTGCCCGATGCCCCACGGACTCGTGGATGGATGGGCACGACTCCAGGCTCTGCATCTGCAGCTGCTGCTCCCTTTCCCCAGTTCCTGCTTGGAGCTGGGATCCATTCTTAAAAGCTGCAAACCCCGTTGGAAGACAAGCCCAATTTTATTTTTACACCCTCACAGGGTTTTATTGCGAGAGCTCCCCTGAAAACCCCCACCTGCCCACCCCGGGGCTTTGCAGAGCTCTTCCAAGCTGCAAAGTCTGTCTCTGAAGCCAAGGTCTCTCCCATATCCCAGGGGTTTGCTGCTGGAAGCTGGAGTTGGCAGCAGAAAGAGCAACTGAGTGCTGAGGGATCTGGGGGGAAATGGGGTGTTTAGGAGCATCCACAGTTGAGGCTGGAGGGGAGAGGGGGCACCGGGTGTCCCAAGCACTGTCACCTCCAAAATCCTCCCCATTCCCTGATGGAGAGTCTCATCAGTCTCCATGGGGGCTGGAGTCCCCTTTGCCAGGGTCCCCACTTGGGGATGCTCCTCGTGCCGAGGTGTTTTGCTCTCTGGCTTCCGCCTGTGTCATCCCATGACTCCACCAGGCATCTCCATCGGGATTAAAAGCTGCTCCTGGTTACTCCCCACGAGTCTCTGAACTGGGGCACAGGAGGAGGGGAGCCCTGCTGGAAAGTGACTTTTTCCAAGGAACTTGATAAAATCAGGCAGCTGCCTCCAATTGCAAACCCTCTTTGATGCTGTCGGCAGCAAAGCTGGATCGGGAAGGGTTTCCCAAGGTTCTGAGAAGGGCCAAATAGCGTTAGGGATCAGGGTCCATCCAGCTGGGGGGGATCCAGCGGGAGGAAGGGCTGACTGGGGGCTGAGCACCCCTCGGGTTTGGGGGACCCCACTGGCCACAACACCTCTGGGTGGTGGGGCAGGATGTGGCCGTGGAGCTGATGGGATGGACGGGGCACTGCAGGTCCTTGGGGGACGAGCCGGTGGCCTGGCAGTGAGCTGGGACATCCACGGGCCGGGAGGGACAGGCTGCTGCCAGCTCCGGAGAAAACATCGGCCCATTAAAAAGAGCTGACGCGCTCCGGCCGGACTGGCTGAGCTGCTCGTTAACATCCATCACCAAACGATTATCCCAGAGAGCCGCCGGCAGCGAACCCAGCGCTGGGAATGGCACCCAGGCCGTTTCCTTCCAGCTCAGCAAGAGCCAGCCCGGGCTTTATTCGTTTGTTTTGTTGGCAATTAAGGAATAATCATCGTCTCGGGGTGAAACGCGGGCGGATCCTGCCTCCCGGGTGGTGGCACGAGGGTGGCAAAACCCCTTTGGGGGTGTGAGGGTGGGACAGGGGCTGTGCAGGAAGACGGGGGCTCAGGGTGCCATGGTCCCATTCGTCCCACGGATCTGAGGTCGGCAGCATCCCGGTGCTGCCCAGGGGACACCGGGAAATCATCTGGGGTGGAGCCGGAACGTGCCCCGGCGTGTGCACGGGGAGGAGCAGGGGTCTTCCTGAATTCCAAGCATTTCCAGGGGTACGGAAAGGGGCAGAGGCTGCCAGGAGGGCGGATGGGGACAAAGGTGGAACATCCCCACCTGAGCTGAGCCCCGCGGGGCGTTGGGAACCTTTGGCAGCCCCGTATGGCGAGGCGGGCTGGTCAGTGGGGGAACTGTGGGGAAAAGGGCTGGAAAAGCCGGCGGAGCGGGGCAGGGGCTAAAAGCCCAGCCTGGAGGTGAAGAGACCTCAGTGACTCCCTGAGCCGCGTGGGACCGGCTCCGTCCCACTCGGCATTACGCAGGGTGTGTGCCAACTCCCTGAGCACGCAGGAGGGACCAAGCCCTTCTCCCGGAGCCACCAACGTCACCCGGTGTCGCCCCGGGGGAGCAGCAGCGCTCCGTGTCGGGGTGGGGGCATTCCTCCTGCCCCGCTCCCACGGCAGCCGCCCTGGCACCGCTCACGTCAGCCGTGTCCCGGGCTGTCCCCGTGAACACGCGGGCTGTCCCCAAGCCCACGGCAGCTCTCACCGGGCACGCACGGGCTGTCCTGTGCAGGGCTGCCCCGTGCACACGCACAGCTGTCCCCACGGACACACAGCTGTCCCCACGCCGGCACAAACTGTCCCCATGCAGACACGAGCTGTCCCCGCACACACAAACTGTCCCTGTGCACACAGCTGTCCCCACGCAGATGCCAGCTGTCCCCAGGCAGGCACCAGCCGTCCCACTGCATTTCCCTGCCATCCCCATGCACGCACTTGCCACCATCTCCACACAAACGCCCGCTGTCCCTTGCACACCTGCTGCTGTCCCCACACACTTGTCACCATCCCCACGCCCACGCTGCCATCCCCACTCACGCCCTCCTCCACGTGCCCGCTGTGGGTTTAGGAGGTGGAACCCTTCTCTGCGGCCGTGTCCAGACCCTCCCTGGGCAAACACAGCTCCTGGACACCTCCCAGTCACTCGGGTTCACTGTCCAGCTCCTCTCACTCCCACATAGCCCATCCCAGAGGTGCCACTGCTGCTCGCTGTCCCCAGACCCTCACTGATGGGGAACCCGTGTCCCTGGGGCTGTGCCACCGGCTGCTGTGGTGGCTCCGAGTGGCCACAGTTGCCCAGAGAGGTGGTTTTCCCATGCTGGCCATGGCGGGGTTGGATTTGGCACAGATGCACAGTGAGCACTTGTGTTCACTGCATGGCATGAGGGGTGTCACTCTCTGCCGTCACTCTCTGCTCTCAGCCCGGGCTCCCTGTGTCACCATCCAGGACCCCCAGACTCGGCCCCAACCCCAGCTGCCTCCTGGAATGGATGATGAGTGATGCCTCCGGGATGCCCTTGCCTTGGAGAGGGGCCACCAGGGAGGCCCCGAGATGAAAGGGAGCACAGGGTGTTATTACTGCAGGTGACACAGAGCTGGGGAATGGCTCCTGTCACCTCCTCTGGCTGCTGCAAAATGCTGCCCGGGGAGTGTGGGGGGGACATGGCACCCCTGGGGCTCAGGGACAAGGACACAGCCCCGACATGGAGCACCAACCTGGCCCCAGAGTGGGCAGGGACTGAGCTGCCCTCTTGCAGCTTCCCTGGGGTGTCACCAGCTGGGGAGGTCCCCATCCCCTGGCAGCATGAACAGTGACCTGTGTGTCCCCAGGCTCAGTGGCTTCCCGGTGACACCACGTGCTGTTTTTCTTGGCATGACTTGTGCCTTTAAAGCCGTGGCAGGGGATGACCCATCTCAGTGCCACTAATTTGAGCCTCTCAGAGAGCACAGCCGCTCCCTTCGCTTTGGGTTTTTGGGCCCCGGGTGACACCTGAGCACGGCTGAGAGTGGTGGCAGCTCCAAGACACCTTGTCCCATCGCCGTGCTGGCCTCTCCTCCTGGGAAATTTGGAGAGCCAGCCAGGAGCTCTGCTTTGGTGGGCTGCTCAGCCTGGAGCCAGTGACTCGAGGAGCAATTTCATGGCCTTTCCCAAGTCCCCTTGGTCCTCGCTGGGGCTGTGGGAATGTTCGCTCTCCTCCTGCCACCCACTGCACGCCAGGCTTCATGTCAGACCACGGAGGGAAACTGAGGCACAAGAGAGCCCATCTCCTGGCTGAAGCAGTTTCCTGCAGCTCTTTAACCCCCATGGATGGGGGTTATGGGGAAGGGGGATAAACACCCCAGCATGTGCGTGTGTGTGACAAGGTCGTCCTGCTCAGGAACTCCCTGTTCAGGAAGAACTTGATGTGTCCTTGGTGCCACCACCATGGCCCAAATACACTTTGGGAGGGAAAGGGGGGATATAGGGCTGGAGGAAGCCATATATAGGGAAAAGGCATCGCCACCAGGACTGTGGATAGGGCTGGGGGGACAAACCAGGGCCCATCCACCCCTGGCCTCGGCACTTCGTGTGCTTTGGCAGTTGCTCAGTGGTGACAGCCCATCCCTGGGGGGGGGACCATTAGTCCTCCCTCATTAAAAAAAGTTACTCACCCTTTAAGACAGAAACAAGAATATCCTGGAAATGCCTCGGTTTGGGGAGCTCTCCCATTAAAGCTATGACTGAAGCCAAGAGGGTGGCTGCACGTGATGCTCGCTGGCACGTGGGCAGGTGAGATTCCCGGGCACTGCCCGGGGCTGCCGTGCTCCTGCTGCTCCCTCCGTGCCCTGGGCTGTATCCAGCACCTCTAGTTCTCCTACCCCTTGAGCTGGGATGGCAAAACCGCTGCTTTCTTCCAGCGAGGACAGAGCCACGGCCTGGCTGTGCCTGTTCCTGCCAGACCCTCCTGCTTTGGCACTGCTGTCCCCGGGGATAAGCCACCCTGACCATTGTGTGGGGTGTAAGGATGGCACTCACCAAACTGGCACCTCCATGGGACATATGTCATTGCCCACCCCATGGGCCCCATGGCATCACCTGCCCCGTGGCATTGCCCATCCCATGGGCTCGACAGCATCACCCACCTCATGGGCCCCATGGCATTGTCTGTCCCCTGTCATTACCTGCCCCATGGGCCCCATAGCATTGCCCAGCTCATGGGCCCCCTGGCCTTGCCCACCCCATGGGCCCCGCAGCATCACCTGCCCCACGGCATCCCCTGTCCCACATCCCTGGCCACCTCATCCTGCCCAAGCCCCCCTCGGCAAGGGGGGAACCCCTGGGGCAAGGTGACCTGGCCAAATCCCAGCCCGGGGCCACGGGGGACCCTGGGGTTCAGGTATTTTAAGCAGGTGAGCAAGGCCGGTGCTGACGCGCTGTTGGAGGGCGGGGGCTGAGTCACGGCCACCTGGTGGCTCAGGGCTTTAATTTGCAGCCATGAAACACATTCCCATTGCAGTTGCCCCAGGGCGAGGGGCTCCGGCTGCCCCGGGCTCTGGGAGGGGTCTTGGTGGGGAGGAGGGAGAAGGTGTAAGCCCTTCTGGCGCTGGGGAGGTGGATCCTGGGGGATTTTTGAGTTGCCCTCACCCAGGCAACCCAGGCAGCCTTAAGCCTCTTCCCTCTCTGCAATTGCTCCTCTCTGAGGGCTCAGCTTCAACTCTTGGGGAAATCCAGGAAAAAAATCCCAAGGCTCAGATGTCCCCAAGCCCCCTTCCCTAGGGATGGAACCTTTAGCCCCCACCCAAAGCCCCTGCTCCAGTGCCAGGACAAGGCAGGTGCTGCCCCTTCCTGCCTGGGGACAACACCCCGAGCTTGGGGTGGGCAGGGCTGTGCTGGGACACCCAGCTGGCACCCCAGGGCTGTGCCAGGGTGATCCATTCCCCTCCAAAAGCACCTTCACCCCGTGAGACCACCAGCCCTTTCCCTCCCAACACACCCTTACGTTGGTGTGGCTCTGGGAGGGATGTGGGAGCCCAGGCTCTGTCGAGCCTCCATTTTTGCCAAAACTGGGAATGGCTTAAAAAGCCCCCCTTGGGATGAGGTTCCAGTTCTCCCCAGGCCACAGCAGGAGGGCGAGGGGCAAACCCTCCATCCCAGCGCTGGAGATGAAGCCTCACACCCACCTTCTTCCTCTGGGGCAGCCGGGACTGTGTGGCAAAGGGTAGGAGCCCAAACAGCTGGAAAATACCCCCACTAAAAATTAACATTAATTTATTAGAATATTTATGATAAAAACCAAGAATCTCTCTTTACATGTAGGTTTGTTTTTTTTTCCTTTTTTTTTTTTTCCTTTTTATACAAGAGAATTTCCATTGCTTTTTGTTGTTGTTTTTTTTTCCCCTCCTGGAGGCAGAGCAGGGCAGCAGGCAGGCGCAGGCAGCGACGTGGGTGCTCACCCCGGCACACGCTGGACCCCCAGGGGTCCCGGTGGGATGTGGAGCGGGGTGGGCACGGGGGGCAGGTGCCCGCCAAGGCAGCAGGGCAGAGGCGACGCGTGGCAAGGCACGGCACGGGGAGGGGGGAAGCGGCTGGGGGGCTCCCCAGGGAGGGGAGGCACATGGCATCCACGTGGTGGGAGCTGGGTGGCACGTGGGGGACGAGGTGATGTGCTCAGACAGGATGCAGGACACCCCTGGGCCCGGGGAGGGCTGTAAATCACCGAAACACTCGGTGACCCCTCCAGCCAAGCCTTGGGGGAAAGACGGGTCCTTCCAAACCCAGGACCCCTGGCACCCCCTGACATCCCCCTCCTGCCAACTTCCCGACCCCAATGTGTCCCCATGCCAGCTCCTCTTGGCTGCAGGAGAGATAAATAATCCCCCCCAAGTAGGAGATGCTCCCCTGGCACACCCCAGACCCCGTCTTTGGTTAAGGAGCAGCTGCTGCCGCGCTGACACAGAGCGAGGGGCCAAGGCTGGTGGAGAGTCCCCACGGGGACAGGTGACAGTGGTTCCAGGAGGGATGGAGAGGCTGCTCAAAGAAAGGGGATCCTGGCTCCCCCCTTGCATGGCTCTAAGATATTTATTTGACAAGACCTGGCATGAAATGTGGGGCCAGGGGGGAGGATCCCGGGCACAGCTGGCCCTGGGGGGAAGAGGCCAGGGCAGGGAGCAGAGGCACCATCCCGAGGTCCCTGGGAGGGTCCTGGGGGGGAGTGTGTGTGTGCCAGCCCCGCACAGAGCCTGGCTCCTGTTGTCCCATCCCTCTGCTCCAGAGCAAGGCAAGGGGGCAGATAAAGCACAACTGGGGAGAGGGGAAGCTGTGCCATGGGGGAGCTGTTATGGACACCCCCGGTCAGAGCCCCCTGTGCCGGCCGCAGCCCCCCCAGGGAGCCACTCGCAGGTCCTGAGTGGGTGGGCACCTCTGGGAGAGCCCCGTGGGGGCTGTGAGGCACCTGCAAATCCCAGTAAATCGTCCGTCACCCCCAGGCCACGGCGCCCGAGGAGCCTGGGGCATCCCGGGGCTCCTTCCCTGCTCATCGGGGCCAGCCCAGGGCAGAGCTGTCCTGGCAATTCCCAGTCCATCCAGGACAGTCTCCCCTTCCCAAACCTTCTGTGTAGTGACAGGAAACCAAAAAAGGAGAGCAAAGAACGAACGAATGAAGAGAAAGAGTAACGATAACAAGGCTTCGTGCCAGCAGCTACTGCCCCTTGGGGATGAAGGGCTCCCCCTCCTCCGGCTCCGGCCGGGGCCCCGGGTCGCTCAGGCACCGCAGCATCCGCTGGTTGCTGGGGCTGTCACCGGTCCCCGGGGTGAAGACATCGTCAGTCCCCGGGGAGGAGGGCTCCTTCACCCGCATCACCAGCCCCTCCTCATCCTCCTCGGGCGAGGGCGGGAGGCCGCTGCAGCCCTTGGGCTCCTCGTTCATCAGGTCCACGGACTCGGGGGACTGCGGCGAGGCCGGGTCGATGGTGATGATGGGCAGGTTCTCCGAGTCCCCCTTGGGTTCGTAGGCCAGCGGGTCTGGCGGGGCAGAGAGGGGTCAGGAAGGGAACGGGGGGTCTCAGGGACACCCAGGTGATGCACCTCGGATATTTGGGGCTGGGGTGTTTGGGGCTGGGGGGCCTGGGTTGTCTCTCTGCTTTTCAATTCTGCTGTGTAATTCCTTTCCCCGATTTCCACATCCCATCTGGAGCCGCCGACAGCCCGTCTCCATTTGGAAGGACAAAGCTGCCCTCTGCTGATGGACCGCAGTCTCTGCAGCCCTGTCACACCTCGTCACACTGTCACCGTGTCACCAGAGCAGGAAGGGACACACAGGACAGGAGGGACTGAGGATTGCAAAGCAAGTGCGTAACCGAGGAGCTGGGAGTCCAGACTAACAGGTCTTGGGGCTGAGCGCTCCTGGTCTCCTCCCCTGTGGAGGGCAGGGAAAGGCATGGACACAGACATGGCTGCGTGGATGGAGTAAGCTGAGCTCTGGAGAGACTGGCCAACCCGACTTCCCAGTGGGAATTGTGCTGAGAAGCCAACTAGGTGCTTCTGCTCAGAACAGCAAACCCCTGGGGCTTGGCTGGATGGGTCTGGGATGGGGATGGTCGGGGCTGGAGAGCCACATGTAGCCAAGGAGGTGCAGGACAGCACGCCCTCCGAGTGTTTTGGGTGCCAGCAGTGACGCTCCTGCCACTGCTCCATCCCACCTACCTGAGCCTATGCGAGCCCGGGACATGGTGGGCGAATCCAGCCTGTGAGCCGGCACCGTCAGGTAGTTGTTCATCTGGAATAGGAGCACAGGGACTGTCTCAGCGGAATGGCCAAGGTCCATGGGGAAGGGGAGGCAGGGAACTGACCCCAGGCTGCAGGGATGAGCAAGGAGCAGCAGCGAGATGCACAGGACATGTACACACATCCTCCCAGCCACGCTGCAGGGAATTGCTCAGAGCCTGGGGCAACCAGAGACCCCCAAGGTTTGGGGTCACCCACTGTCATCTGAACCTCAGCTCCCTCCCTGTGCTGGACACTCATGTGCTTCCCAGGCTGGGAAGCCACCCTGTCCCCCCCATCCTCCCCAGCCTGTGGCAGCATCCCGGTTCCAGCATTCCTCTGACACCTTCTGTTCCAGCTGCCGGGCCTTCTGCCTCCGCAGGAGCATCTGGTTCCAGGCCTCCTCGTAGGGGTCGGCCACGAGCGTGTGCCGGTTGTAGGATCGCAACTGGGAAGAGACCCCAAGGAAAGGAGGCGTTAAAATCCCACATGGAAAGGGAAGGAAGGTCACAGCCCTGTTTTCCCTGGAGATTGATGAAACAGCCACCAGTGGGCAGAGCAGCTCCAGGCAAGCTGGTGGCTCATCCCTTGTGTGCCACAGTGGGATGCCTGATCCTGACCCACCTCGGCCCAGCGAGGGTTTAAAGGCTGGGTTCACCCCTTGACCAAGCCATCCTTCCCCTCAGATTATCCCAGTGCCATCTCAGGAGGAAAAGCCTCCTGGGGATGGAGAGCCAGGTTGGGAACACAAAGGGTAGGGACAGTGGGAGTGAAGGGCCCAGCTGAGGGCTTCTGGTGGGCAGTGGTCCTGGCCACCCCCAGCGAGGCAAAGGGGACACACACGGTGCCAGGGGACACCTCACCCTCTGCCTGGTTTTCTGCAGGTTGTTGCGGAGGATCTTCCGGATCTCCTCCTCCTTGTCCTTGGACAGGGCCGGAAGGATGCGTTCCACAGGGAGGGACTTGGGGTTGATATTCCTGCGTGGACAGACAGGATTCAGAGTGACACCACGATGGCCTCGCAGGACCCAAGGGCTGCTTGCCCTGTGGCCATTAAGGGTCCCATGGGAGGTGCCAGGGCTGGGAACTCACTGGATGGAGACAGTGGAGACAGCGGAGGGGATCTTGCCTATGCCCCCACTCTCCACCAGCTCGATGGCCTGCTTCATCTCCATCTTGTGGTAGAAGGCGATGAGCTGGGGCTCCTTGGAGCGCTCCCCTGCGATCAGGCACTTCTTCACATACTTCTTGTTGAAGCGGTTCAGCCTTCCCGAGGACACGGGGAAAGAAGGAGCAGTGACATGTCAGACCTCTCCCTGCCCTGCCACCCACTCCCTGCTCCCCATCCCTGGCCCAGGATAGCACAGTCAGTGGTGGGCTCAGTTCCCACCAGTGCACATCAGGCCAAGCTTCTCTGAATCCCTCCTGAGCGAGACAGACTCCAAAACACCCAGAAGCTGCTCACACCCACTATGGATAGTCCTGAGCTCCTGCAGGGACCAGCCACCAGCAGCTCCCACCCTGCTGTGGTGAAGGGGCACAGCCCTGCAGCTCTGCTTGGACCCAACCCAGGGCCATAATTCACCGCAGGGAGAGTGTGTGTGGATGTTACAGCCCAGGGAAAAACCCAGCACGGGGCTGAGAAACCTTCTGTGTGGTGATTCAAACCCTTCCCCAGCCACCAAACCTCCACACTCACTTGTCCTTCCAGTGGTGATGCCCGTAGTGACCACAGATATCCTCGATCCCCGTCAGAAGGTGATCCAAGAACTGGAAGAGACACTCCAAGGCGTCAGCAGCTCAGAGGGCTGTTGCCCACCCTCTCCCCACCCCAACACCCAGGCTGACACAGAGGGCACTCAGGGGGTGCAAAATCAGGGCTGTGGGTCCAGGATGGGCCTCGGGAGGGCAGGACAGACCTACACAACCAGGCTGCGGCTCTACCAGGCACAGGGGAGAGCTGGGTCGGAGCAGGCACTGGACGACACAGACGGGGGAGAGCCCTCGCTCTGTCCCCCCTTACCTTGGGCACTGATTTAGGGGCAGGTCCTGCTCTGTGAACCCGCCTGGTTACAGCGGTGGAGGTGGCAGAAGCAGAGAGAGCAGAGGGCTAAGGCGGCGACGAGAAGCGCGCGGGGAGGGCCGGCCGGAGCAGCGCGTTTACCTGCGTGTGGATCTCTTCGTTGATGGAGCGTTTTGTCTCTTGCTTCTTCTTCACGGCCAGCAGATCCACCAAGGGCCGGATGGTCATGCCCTAGGGAAGGGGGAGAGGGAGTTAGATCTCTCCACAAGGAACACTGGTGGGAGCAGGGGGGGTTCAGCACAGCCAAGTCACTGTTGGTGTCACCAGGCAACCTCAAGAGCTTTTGGGGGGACAGTGACAGGGTCAGGGAGGGAGGGTGGGGTTGTGCTCCTCACTCCCCACGCACACACAGAGCCATTAAATAACCCCTTTCCCTCTAAAACCACGACCTGAGCTCCACCAACCTGCACGAAAACGGTGAAGAAGATGACGGTGATGATGGCTGTGAGGAACATGTCCCTCATGCCAAAATGTTTGTAGTCCAGGAGGTACCCGAGGGAGAAGGCGATGGCTCCCCGCAGGCCCCCGTAGGCGATGATGAACTGGTCCTTCGGCGTCAGCTTCACAATTCGGAACTTGTTGATGAACCAGGTGAGGACAAGGACACCTGGGGGAGCAGGGCAGGCTCTTGTGTGAGCACATGGTGAGGGATCCCCTCCAGACCCAAAGAGACCTCCTGGCAGCCCAGCCTGCAGTGCAGTGTCACCCTCCCCAGGGCTGTGGGTGCAGGTGGGTGCTGTCCTGCTGCTCATCCCAACATCCCTCACCAGCTCCAATCCCACACCTGGGATAAACATGGCCTTTACTCCACCTCCCAAAGCCAACCACCTGCAGGGGTGATGCCCACGGTGGAGCAGTGCCACCCAGTCAACTCCAGTCTCCCCAGCAAGGTAAACCTGGGCATCACAGTCCTGAGAGTTGCCCATGACCCAACACCAGGGTGGCCACTCAAGACCACATTGGACGGGGCTTGGAGCAACCTGGTCTAGTGAAAGGTGTCCCTGCCCATGGCAGGGGGGGAACTAGATGGTCTTTAAGGTCCCTTCCAACCCAAACCATTCCATGATTCTGTGACCATCCCCAAGGACTTTGCCACCACGCTGACACCTCACCTAACACCCTGGCGATGAGGCAGAAGAGCAGCGTGCTGATGACGAAGGTCCAGTTCCAGTAGTGGTGACCAGCCACGGTGGAGACACCCAGGAAGATGAAGATGAGGGTCTCGCTCACGCTGCTCCACATCTTGAGGAAATACTTGATGGTGGTGTGGGACTTGTGGGAGATGTTGGCTTCCACATAGGGCCTCATGACCACGCCAGAGGCGATGAGCCTGGGGGCAAGGTTGGGGCACTCAGCAGTCATGGGGACATGGGGACAGCACCAAACCCTGGCCCTGCAGCAGCGTTTTGGGGGACAGCCCCAAACCCTGGCCCTGCAGCAGTGTTTTGTGCTCTTACACCGAACCACAGAGCAGGACAAAGCTTGTGAGGCACCAGCAATTATTCAAGGCCTCCAGAGAAGGCAACGGGAGATTTATCCTTCCCCCTGGCAGGGCAGGAGTGAGCATTGGAGCCAGGCCCTGCCTGCTCCTGTGTACCAAGGAGAATGGGAAGCGGGCTGCCAGTGCCCTGGGATCTGTGTAACAACTCAAGAGAGTCACTTCCCTCATCTGCCTCCCTGCTTATCCCATCCCAAACACACCTCTGGCCCTCACTGGGCAGTTACTGGCCTTGCTGGGCCAGTGGTTACACCACAGTAAATCCTCCAAACGGTCCTGGGGACAGGAGGGCGTCTCATCCCCCCCCATTCCCAACTCACGCCATGATGCCGGAGAGGTGGAAGAGCTCTGCAGAGAGATAGGCCATGTAGCTGTAGAGGAAGACGAAGAGGGGCTCGATGACTCGGATGTGGGAGGTGAAGCGGGACGTGAAGGCGGCGATCACCCCGTAAATGACGCCCACCAAGACGCCGCCCAGCGACACCACGAAGAAGCTGAGGAAGCCGAGGATGATATCGAGGATGGTCACCTGCTCAAAGTTGGCAAACTCCTCAAAGAGGTGGTAGAGGACCTGGGAGGGAGAAAGGAGACAGGGGTTCAAACTGTCCTGCTGGCAAGAGACAACCCCACCTCAGAGGAGACCTGCACGGGAACCTTCCCTGGAAGCCAAGCAGGGCCCCAGTGTGGCACACCTGAGCTGAGGTGTGTCAGTGCTTGGTGACCCCAGGCTGGGTCCTGTGCTTGACCAAGCCTCACACCAAAAAAGGTGGTTCTTTGCCACACAGATCCATAGGGACCGACCAGCTCCTCGTCCTCTGTGGCTCAGAGGGACACTGGGCCATCAGAGATGTGTCTGGGACAGCTCTGCTCTCCAACTGTCCCAGGAAGGGCTTTGGTCATGGTCTGAATCAGCCAGAGACTGCTCCTGTTTCCCAGTGGAAAGGTCAGGATGGATCCAGGCTGGGAGACCCTTGACAGATGCACAGAGAGAAAAGCCACCATCTGCTCTGCTCAGCTGGAGAGGAGCCCAAACCCTTGAGACAGCTTTGGAACTGAGGGAAACCTCACAGAAGGAGCCCACCCCAGGCTGCGTCACCTTCTCTCACCTCCAGACACTGGAGAGATGTTAAGGCAGCGTGTCAGGATGGGAAAAGGGATTTAGGGCATCCTGCAGGAACAGCAGCACTTGCAAGCAGGCAGAGGGTGAGGTGTCAGCTCCTGCCTGCCAGGGCTGGGCCCTGGGACATGGGCAGGGACAGATGTGGCAGCAGAAGGCAAAAGCATTCCCCAGGGATAGGAGCAGGGACATAGATCCTGCAGGCAGCCCCTCTGGTCAAAAACGGGGGAGAAGTGCCTGGGAGGAGCCCTGTGGTGGGTCAGCATGTTCCTCGTCACCAGGAACCTCGTCAGCAGCACAGCAGCACGCTGAGCAGCCAGCTCCAAAATGGACAGCTGGGATATGGGAGAGGAGCCAGGAAAAAGCAGTGGGTTAGAAGTAAATTTAGAGGTCAGCCCTGCAGAGAGGAGGAGGCCACACTGACAGCTGAGCCAGCACCTGGACACTGACGTCCTTTGGAAATGGAGCAGGCCTGGCTCCACCTCCCAAAGGTCCCTGCAAAGCTGCTGCTCAAAATGGGGCCAAGGGGTGGTCCGGTGGGATGCCAGCCTGGCTGGAGCCCCCCAGCTCTCCTCTTGCCATGGCTGGTGATGTCCTGCCCTCCCACCTCCTCATGGCTGCATCTGGAGGACAGCAAGGGTGACCACATGAGAGGAGACAGAGGGAGCAGCAGCTACGTGGCCGTGCTGCCTGACCCAGCACCAGCCCCTCTTGCTTTCCCTGGCAGGACAGGCACGGGCACGGCAGCAATTCCACCCTGGAGAGCTGATTCCCAGCAAACCAAGGCACCAGGCACAGTCCCTGCTCTTCACCAAGAGGCAGCAGCTGGCTGGACATGTGCCCTTGGCCTCCCCAAACCATCAAGTAAACTGCTTCACCCTAACTCACCTCCGCAGTGTTTTAAGCTGCTATATTTGGCTTTGAGCTGGACAAGGTTCGGAGCGAGCGGAGCTGCTGCAGCTGAGCAGCTTGGAACGGCCCTGACATGAGCTGCCAGTCCCGGTGTCCCGGTGCCACCACCCCGAGATGCTCCGCCAAACCCAACCCCATCCCCTCGGCCGAGCCCCTCCGCGCACTCACCACCGTGACGGCGTCGTTGAGCAGGGACTCCCCGAAGACCAGGATGTGGAGCAGCTCGTTGATGTGGATCTCCTCAAACACGGCCAGCACGGCCACAGGGTCCACGGCAGAGATGATGCTGCCAAAAAGCAGGTTGGCCAGGAGGCCGATGTGGTTGAGGCCGGGGCCACCCAGCTGGCACACGGCGTACATCAGCCCCCCCAGGAAGAAGGCGTTCCAGAGCGTCCCCACCACGGCGAAGATGAGGATGGTGCCCAGGTTCTCGGTGAACTGGCGCAAGGGGAGGAAGTAGCCGGCGTCCAGGATGATGGGTGGGAGGAGGAAGAGGAAGAAGATGTCTGACTTGAGGATGGGGGGCTTCTCGCCCACCCCTTTGATGAGCCCCCCGACCAGAAGGCCCACCACGATGAGCAGGCAGCTCTCGGGAACGATGCTGGACACTGAAGGGATCACGTGGAAGCCTGGAGAGGGGGAGGAGAGAGGAAGACACACGTTGGCTGTACAAATGGAAGGTGTTGTCTGCAGGAGGACACCTCTGCTGGGGTCAGGCAGTAGTTCCCAGCCTTCCCTGCACTCTTCAGCACCCACTATCTTTGTGTGCCTCAGTTTCCTCTCCTGTCCCAAGAGGAAAACCTTGACACTCTGTCAAGTGGAAACCAGACCCACACCCCCCGACACTGCTGATCTCAAATCAGAGCATAACAGTAAATCCCAGTTCAACAGCCACCCTTGGGACATCCCAGGGTCTCTCTGCAGACCCCAGGCCCACGACAGCTGCCTGTGGCACAGACAGTTCTCCCCACGCAAGCTGTCGCTGGCTCCAGCTCTTCCCCTTGCAGCTAATCCCGAGCACACGTAGGCATTGGCATTTCCCTCCTGTCAGACAGCACCCTGCCCACCCAGTGCCATTATTCCTGGCATGCCAGGTGCTGGCAGCAGCACAGTGCCCATCCCTGGCGATCCCTGATGCAGGGGACAGGCTGGTGCTTGGTGGGTTTCAGGATGCAATTTGCCTTCCTGCAGCTTCAGGAGCCAGCAGGGAGGTTTCACGTGGCTGGTTGCAGCAGGGACAGGATGAATCCTTGAGGTGCAAGGTAACAGGGAACATGTTTTCCCCTTTTCTAATCACAGCATGACCCCAAATACTGGTCTCTGAGCCAGCCATGACCTGCTGGGATGATATTCCCCCACCAAACACCCCCCAGCCAGGCATCTGCCAACACACCGATACCCACAGAAGGATTTTGGGTTCCCTGGACCTTCTCCCAGGCTTTATAATTATTATTTTGAAGCGAGGCATATTTGTTCTCTGGCAAGGGAAGCAGCTTAAAATAAGGAGCCCTGCCTTGGCATCCCGTGTTCCTCCATTCCTTCCGGCCGGGCGGCTGTGCCATCTGCACATCGTTTCACAACACATTAAATCCCATTCCATAACGAGTCACGATCCCGCTGACGATCCAGAGCCCCCCCCGAGCCCCCTCCCCGAGCCTGCAGGGACCACATCTGCGCCATGGTGCCGGCTCATCCCTCCTCCACCTGCGCAGCCGACGGGGGAAGGCGCCGCATCAATCTGGCTCCGATGGGAAAAGGTGTCACTTCCACAATCCCTCCCTAAGGATGGGCAGTGAATCAGCTCCCAGCCACAGCCACAGGGGCAGGATTAGATCCCAGATTGCCACCTGAGCTGCAGGCACAGGGTGGGTGAGCCCAGAGGGTTCATCACGCCCGAGGCTCCGCGCAGGTCTGGCTGCACCATTCCGGCTGCTCCAATGGGTCTCTGGTGCTGGAGAGATGTGGGAAGGAGCCTGGTTTCTACCTTGGCTTTGCCACAGCAGCACCAGCAAATGCTCAGTGGCTTCAGGTTCAGTTATGAGGGGAGGCCAGGAGGAGATGGGAACATCCAAACTTTCTCCCAGCACTCTCCCAAAATCCAGCCAACTGTGTTCAGGGACTTCTCAGCCTGGATGCAGTTCCTGATTTGCCCCCACAGGGTTCTCCTCTGTCTGGGATCCCCTGGAGCCCACACAAGCGCTGAGCACCCCAAGGCAGCCCTGGCAGGGTGCTCCCCATGGGAGGGGAGGCAATAATCCCTTTTCCATGCACAGCTCATGCAAACACCAGGAACAACCGACCCTTCCAGCACGCCGGGCTGGAATAAGGTTTAAAGCCACACAAGCAGCGAGAAGCCCACAGCAAATCAGTTTTTGCTTGGTAAGTATGTTCAATCATGAATAAAACACAAACACTGACAATTAAGCATCTCTCCCTTCTTCCCCACAGGCCCCAGGATTCCATTAAACTGGAACATTCGTGTGCTGATGGGAATTCAATGGTTTAGAGCCTTTTTGTAGGGTCCTAAAAATACACTCACACGGGCTGCATTTTAATTATGCCTTTGATTTCACTGAATCTCAGCCATTTTTGCTCCCTGCTTTCTCTGCTTTAGTATTTTTAGAGCGCTCCAGAGCTCATCTGGACCAATCTGTTGGTGGGATCCTGCTGGGATCCTGCTCCGAGTGTTCCAGCATCCCGCTTTGGAGCGGGAGTGACTAGTGCGAAGAAAACCCCTCACTGTGGGGATGATGGCAGGCAGGGGTGAACTGGTTTGATCCCAGCTCTGTGCCTGAATTTCCCTCCTGGAGGATGAGGAAGGCTGTGGCAGGATGAGGAAGGCTGCAGCAGGATGCTGGGTGATGAGGATGGCCAGCCATGGGCACACCCGGGGGCAGCAAGAAGGGGAATAAGCCTTGGTAATAACTATAATAATAATAATAATAATAATAATAATAATAATAATAATAATAATAATAATGCTTAATACCCTTCAGGCTCCTGTTTCTGGCTGATTTGGTAAAGATTATTTGCTGTTCATCTGCACCTACTGGTGCTGCCCTCCTGTTCCCAAATGTGGTGCCCCTGCTGCAAACTGGGATTTCTGCTGCAGTGGGGTCTGTAAATCCTCCACCACGGGGCAGGAGGGCACAGCCAGACCCCACTGCTCCTTCAGGTTCCTTTGTTAAGCAGCAAGTGGTTCTTTCCACAGAAGGGCAGGAACCGGCATCTGAGAGGTCCCCCCAGCTGGCAGGGCTGTGTGGGATGTGCTTCCCTAAGGATTGAGGAGCAGGAATGGGGAGGCAGTGCCCACACCAGGCGTACGAGACTCCTGGCACGCTGCTGCCAGCACAGCCTGAATAAACAAGTGGTGGGGAGCTGAGGGGATGAGACAGCTGGTCCCTGGCACATCCACATTTGGAGGATGAACACGGATGCACAGGTGAGCACACGGAGCAGCTTCACCCATGAAGAAGCACCCACTGTATTTCAAGTAGTTTTCCAGAATCCTACCAGGAGGGAATTCCCCTGGAGACCTCATTTCCCTGAGAGCAACACCTGACCCCCAAATCCCCAGCTTGGGGCACGCACAGTCACTCAAGTTTCTTCCTCTGGAAAACAAACTCTATGGAAGCAGCTCCCCTGTGGACAGCATCAAACAGCACCGAAACTATTAAAAGAGAGACCAGTTGAGTCAACACCAACCCCAAGAGCTTGAGCAAACAAGGAAAAGGAAATCCAGGAGTTAATAGATCCTATTAAAACAGTTCCTTGCCCACATCACGCACCCCGGCTTCCACACGCCCAGCAAGGGAACACGGGGATTGCTGGTGGTCAGCAATTCCTTGGGTTAGGGCAGAAAGGAGAGGGGACTGGAATTCCAGTTTTAACCACAGTCTAAACACTTGAAGGAGTGGAGGAAATACCCATCCTTCAAATGAAAGAGATTTTGGGGCAAGGAAAGCTGTCGCAAGGCAATGCTGGCGCTGCAGCTCCTGAACGTTTCTTGTCTTTATGTTGGGATCAGCAGATTCACATGGGGCCATTCCTGCCCAAGGAATCGATGGCAACATCAGGAATTTGCCCCCACTAACTTCTCCAACACGAGGGCTCCCATTTCAGCTGCTAAAGGTTCATCCCCATCCCTCTGAGGGGGAGCTGGGCTGCTTTTCCCAAGGCTCCGGCTGCTGGCGGATGCAGTGCCACGTAAATATTTACTCCTGAGCAACCAGCCAGGGAGAGACTCTGCCCCATGAGCAGTTTTTTTCCTTCCTGGGCTGTATCTGGGTTACTGCAGCCCTGGCAGGGGCCGGATGCTGTGCCTGGGGTTATATAAGCTCCATCCAGCAGCGTCTGCTCCCTCCCTGCCTAATGACTCCAAACCCACCCTGATCTGATCTGCTTCCATCCTCAGCCTGGGCAGGAAGAGCCCGGGGGGGATGTGGAGGGAAGGGTGATGGCACCCAACCCAGACTCAGCATTCCCACCCTGGGGATGTCAGAACCAGCCAGGTCCCACCCACTTCTCGCCCTGCAGCTGAAGCTGAGGTGATCTCCACGCCCTGAGCTGCTCACAGACATTTGGGAACCCTCTCCCAAGGCCAGAAGGGAACGATCTGCAGCTTCCCAGCACCCCGGCCGCTGCAATACAGCTCCATATGGCACAGGATCCAAGGTCAGGCTTAGTCAGAGCTCTGGCAGCGCTCCCTCCCCTGATTTTAAAGACCTCCCTCAAAGCAGTGCGGAAAGAACATTAGAAGAACACTTTAATCAAACACTTTTCATGGAGGAAAGGAGGTAAAGCCTTCACGCACTTCCCTGATCCAGGCCAGGTCAGGGAGATGTTGACATCTCCCATTCCAGCTCCCACCATGGGGACATTCCTGGAGTCGGAGCTGTAAGAGGCTCTGCAATTCCCATGGCCCTGAAAAATGCTGGTGTTCAGAGGCAGTAAAAAAAAAGAAAACAAACAAACAAACAAAATATATATGTCTGCCTGCACCAGGAGAAACTGTGCCAGCCCTGGGGACAAGGGGGTTGTCCCCATGAGCCAGTTCCTGCAGCTGGGGTTGGCGTGAGCCATCACATCTTCCTGCAGGTTGAATTAGGGTGGGATTAACGTCCCCTCCTTTCACAGGAGGAAAAGAAATATGAAGGAGGAGGGAAGAAAACCCACTCGGCTGGTGTTTCAAGTTGGAGTCGGGTAAAGAGGGAGAGAAGGAGGGAAGGGAGCACATGAAGTGGCTGGAAGGGCTTTGGCACATTCACGGTTAAGCCGGATGCTCCTGTGGCTTCATCCCGGCTTCCCAAGCACCCACGCATGGGAAGATTGTTTTGGGAAAGCCAGGATGCTTCCAGGATGATGCCTGTTAGCTAAGAAGAGGCACAAAAATGAGAATGGTTACAAAAACACCCTGTCCTCCCAGGCTTCCCAAGTTTACTGGAGCAGTTGCAGGCTCCAGCAGACAGGAGGAATTACACAATTATTAACCAGGGTTAGGCAGCTCTCCCACCCTCCTGGATGATTTTTCTCTGGAAGGAGGCAGATGAGGGGTCAGTCTGGGTGAGGGGGTGGTGAAGACCCCCGGGTGAGGCTCACTGGGAACCCATGGGTGACTTTTTGGGGCACAGGGTGGGAGTGAGTGGCTGCAGAGCTGGAAAAGCCCTGGGAGAAGGCACAGGGTCTGGGAAGGAGGCGGTGAGGGGGAGCAGGCATGCTCAGAAGGGCTGCCCTTCTGAAGGACACTGCAGAGAGCAGGGCTGGAGGAGACACACGTGTCTGAGCAGCACCAGGGCCACTCCAAAGGCCACTTTAACCCTTTAGGACACCGGGCTGGGTGGGCCCTACAGAGAGGCAGCAGCCCTGGTCAATCAGCAATCCCAGTGGGGAGGGATGCAGGCAGGTGTGGACACCATCCCATACTCCTGTGTCACATGGGGACCATGGAGAGCCCCCACATGTCGATACTTTGCTGGCTGAACCCCAAAATCACTGGTGTGTCCCAGCCAAGGGGACTCTTCATCCACAGAGCCATTACTCAGGACCATCCCCTTCTTTCTCCAGGTAGAAGAAGCAGCAGGGCAGGAAGGAGAGACGGCTGTTTTGGAGTGGTGGAGGGTCAAGGATGTAGGAATAAGCCCCCAGCAGGGCTAAAGCCCTGTGAGGATAGTAATGAAGGAACAGAGCATTTTGCAACCGGCTCCCAGGGGAAAACCCATCCCAGGCTCCCAGAATTTGGCTGTAGCTTCTTCCCATTTATCCCTTTTCCTCACGAAAAAAACACGCTGGATTTCTCTCTTCCCTTGCCTGACCATCAATTGCCCAAAGATCAGCCAGGCTTTGCTGATGGCCGGTGGCCTCCAGCACAGCCCTCATGGGATGTCTCACTGGGAGTGTTTCAGCCCTGCTGTGCATCTCCCTTGGAAAATGGAGCTGGATCCAGTGACTCCCTGCAAAGACAGGGAGTGAGGAGCCTGGGAAGGGCACGGAGAGAGCTGCGTGCTCCCAGCACCAGCAGCAGCTGTAGCAGGGAAGCCTCAAGGGAAGGGGATGAAAATTGAACTTGCTCGAAAGGAATTAAATAGCTGCTGATTTACACCTATAAATAGAGCGAGGCCACGGCTCGTGTCACCCTGCAAGGGGAGGTGGTAAAACCACGATACTTAAATTACACCCACTGC